AAATTTTTTTTAACTATCTGTTATTTTAGAAAAACTGATGATGGTGGAAAAATACACCGAAACGTATTTTAATTGATAAATAGAGCCAATAAATGACTGAAACCCGGGAATTAATTTTGAGTTTAAAACAATTCCAATTATTATTGAAGCAATGCCAGGCCCGATAATCAGACAGACCAAAGACCAGTATACTTGGGCACCGAGTACCTGACTCAGGTGGAAAATCTACGGGCAGCCTACCGGTGTGCGCTGGCCTCCTGCAAGGAGCGCCATCAAGAGTCGGACATTGAGCAATTGCAGCAGTTATGTGAAAAAGTCCTAAGCTCGATGGAACAGTGGCATAGAAGGTAGGCTCCTGCAGACTCCAGTAGGTTCCTGTTGTGGTACCCCGATCGGTTTCAGAACAATTCAAGATCTGCGAGAAGTGCATGCACAGGAAGTGGAATTGTTGAAACAGGAAAAGGAACAAGCCTTGGCCGAGGAAACGCAAGCGACGTTGGCTGCTTTGGACGCGATGCGAAAAGCCCACGTAGCTGAGGTAAATCGGCAGTAGCCAAGCGCTGGGCTGGCAGAAATACGGTTTATCGTCTGTAGGTTCAAAGAGAAGTAGCAAGGTTCAAGCAGGAGTTCGCCCGGCAACAACGAGACGAAATTCTGGACCTTTCGGAGCGATTGTCTGTTAAGTCGTTGGAAGCGGCAGCTCTTGAAGAGCAGCTGGGCAGCGCCACTCGACAGTTGGCTCATGCACAGCAACACATTCTGCAGCTCGAACGGAACCCCCAGCTCTCACCTATGCAGGTATACAGTTCAATTTCCAGAAAATTCGAAGAAATTCGACACTTTTTCTTTATTTGCAGAACTGACGGTGTGTATCCGTGACGAGCGCAAAACCCTACTAGTCTTTAATAAGCCTCAATACGTATACCAGTGAATTAACAATACTTTAGTACAATATTATCGAGTTAATGTTTCACCGTTGTGTACAGATCATAGCACCCTGTTTGTTTGTTCATAAGCTGTTTGATCAATTAATACTTTTATAGATGTTTTCAACTTATTTATACGTGTACCTCATTCACCCCCCTTCAGGGCCGATCCGTTCTGATTCGTTCCATTAGTCAATGTGCGACTATTAAAACGCCATCGGTTGTGTTCGATAGCCGGTGTACAAAACGTATTGGTAATTTTTTTTGTAACAGTTTATTTGTTTATGTGTTGGGTTTATATGGAATGTTTACAAATGAAAATATATCAGTTATCAAGTTAGTATTGGTGTTTTTTTGCGCACAAAAAACATAATATTAATACAGGCTGAAGCCCAAATTTTATCTAATATTTGAGTGTACAATATTTGCATTGTAAAAAGACAACAGGGAACAACAATTAAAGCTAAACAAGCCAATATCTTTGGTATAGTTAATAAATAAAATGCCAAATTCTTATAAACGTATTCACGATCGCACGAATAAAAGTTTCTTAGTTAACAAATTGCATTAGAATATTATAATCCTGCCTCCTAGTCATTGTTAACGGCCCAATCTTTGCTTTTTTCGAACATTTTTTTTACTCTATAAGTTTTTATTTATCAATTTCGAAGCGTTCCTACTTTGCATGTTTCCAGAGATGTTAAATTGCGCAACTATCCACTACAAATCTATCAACAATGCAGTGGCGAGGATAGTTGAAGATTTCGAAGATTAAACAATTTATAATTGGACTATGAAGGCTTTCACGGCCGGTTAAATTACATTTCGGAATGTTTTCCAGACTTTGAAGCCGTGGTCTATCGGAATTTCTTCCTGACGTTTCGTCCACAACTGCGGTGGATATTTTCAAAGGCGATGAGGCAGTGGGCGAAGTGAT